GCTTGAGTTAAGTCATCGGCCATACTTGTGGAGCCGCTGGGCCCTGACTGTGGGGCGTCCCTCTTTCTATTCTCAAGCCAGGAGCTGCAATCTGTTGGATCGTAAATCTTGAACTTTCTGCCAGTGGCGTATTTTTTCCCCCGCGGCGTCTTTCAAAAAAAACATGCAACAGTGGCAGGTGACAATTTTTATTGCCACTAAACGTTCCCAGGAATGGATGAAATGGGGGAGTCTGTGGTGAGATCACCGCATGTTCGAATGCCTTTTGATTTGAGAGCAAGGCTGATGTGTTTTCGAGCCAGGAATCCAGTGTGCTATGGACTGAACAAACATCGCACCGTTCCGTACGTGGCGCCTGCTGCAGGCGCCCTTTTCAAATCCCAGAGAACCCGCATTTTTGCTCAAGGAATGAAAAAGGCGCGGTTGCTCCGATCTTTCCTGTCTTCTGTTCTTTTTGATACCCGTCGTATTTTTTCATTGCTGCTTTACTTTGTTGATCCCTCGCCCCTAAGACTATGGTTGCAGGTGGTTCGCTTTAGAATGCCAGGTGCGGGGAATCCTCAGAGTAGGTGCCTCTGGCTTTGTTAAGGTGAAACAGTTGAAAGACCGGGCCCAACTCCTCCTCTCCTCGCCTTATCCTTATCCGTACCCTTTCCTCTCCTCTCCTTGCTTTCCGGATCAGAAACTGTGTCAGAACAAACGCCGGAACAAGTGGGAGGATGCGAAACCACAGTCGGAAGTACATGACAGAAGACAGATCAGAGCACAGGTCAAAGTTGACCGCAGGACAAGTGTCAGAAAACATGCCAACAAGGACGGCAGGCCACGTTACAAAACACTTCCCAGCCTTCGTGCTAGATGATGTGTCAGAACAGGTACCAGACTTGATGCCAGAGCACATGACACATGTCAGAACAATGTGTCAGCGCGCGTCGCGCCAGGATGGCCTATCAGTATATCTGCCCTGCCTACTTCCCAAGTGCTTTTCAGCATGGGACCACTCGAAGTAAAGTAGTTTTGGAAAGTATCGCGTTGTACTGTTTGTTGGCTCTGAAACTGCGCCATTTGATTTTTGTTTCCGAAGAGGGATGCAGATACAGTTTCGGCAATGTTCAGTGTGGTATCTCAACATCAGTTTCTTTTCAACCATCCATGTAGTAGAACTTGGTGAAAGGTTCAAGCTCTCGAATCTCAGAAAGGGTTAGCCCGCACGATGACCAAAATTCTGGTTTGTAGAAGTCGTGCAGACATGAGTGCTAAAATGACAGGAACCATATAAGGACACACTCAGACACAGACAGCGATCACAAGCGCAAGCACATATATCGCGCCGGCATGGTTGTCTCGCGTTTGCGGAGTGCAGGGTTTGCCGTCATTGTTCTGGCTTCCTTGATTTCTTGGAGGGTGTTTCAGGGATCAGACCTTGCATCTACATCAGCATTTTCAATTGCTGAAATTGCCACAGCAGAGGAGGTGGTAGCTGAATCGACGACAACTTCCCCTCCGGACCGCTGGGCGGAGCTGTTCAGTGGCCAGCGGCATAGACCCCCCCAATGGAGCCAAAACCCGATTGTGTTGCAATATGTCGCCGAGCTTGCTCGAACGTCTTCTACCAACCAAAGAACAGGCATTAGCACCTTTGGAAACTGGGAAAAGAGTGATTCGCTAATGATGTGCATTCAAGAAGTTTTCACCACATACTTTTATGACATGCCGCTGAGTGAATTTCGAGCATCAAGGCCGAGTGTTAAGCGCATCAAGACACTCAGCATTGGTTGTGGGGATGGGGCCTGGGAGAAATCCTTGGTTGTCGCAGGTTTCACAGACGACTTGACTGGATTTGATACAAGTCACGGTTCAGTGGCTCGCGCCAATTCCAATCTGCAGAACTGGTCGACCATGCTGAGATTTGCAGTTTTTGATGCCAACTCGGATCCCATCAATGGCACCTTCGATTTGATTTACTGCCATCATTCACTGCATCATATTCAAAATTTAGAATTCTTTTACGAGCAGGTGTATCGGTCATTGCGGCCAGGAGGCATTTTTGCATTTGAAGACTTTGTTGGCCCAACGCGGTATCAGTGGACACCTGCGCAACTGCAAATTCAGAATAAGATTTTGCAGGCATTGCCACGATACTTGCGAAATCACGCTTTAGCTCCTGGCGTCTACGCAGACAAGATGCACATGCATACCCACACGGGAATGATACGGGAAGATCCTTCTGAAGCAGTTCGGTCGAGTGAGATACTTCCTGTTCTGGAGAAATGGTTCAGCAGCAAGTTGCCAATTGTGGAGCGTGTGCCGCTTGGAGGGACCATTCTCCACCCGCTTTTTAATATCATTGGGTGGAACTTTAATTTGAGCAACCCCGAGCACGCTTCTCTCGTGCAGATGAGCTGCATCATTGATTGGCTTGCATTGACCGTTCTGAAGCAATCAGATTTTGTCGCAGTTGTGACAAGGAAGGCAGCAACTCTTATTTCAGCGCAACAAACCAGCTCTGAAAGGCTTTTGTTAGAGGGTGAAAGTTCTCTTGAAACATCTACATCAGCATTTTCAATTGCTGAAATTGCCACAGCAGAGGAAGTGGTAGCTGAATCGACGACAACTTCTCCTCCGGACCGCTGGGCGGAGCTGTTCAGTGGCCAGCGGCGTATAGTCCTCCAATGGATCCAAAACCCGATTGTGTTGCAATATGTCGCCGAGCTTGCTCGAACGTCTTCTACCAACCAAAGAACAGGCATTAGCACCTTTGGAAACTGGGAAAAGAGTGATTCGCTAATGATGTGCATTCAAGAAGTTTTCACCACATACTTTTATAACATGCCGCTGAGTGAATTTCGAGCATCAAGGCCGAATGTTAAGCACATCAAGACACTCAGCATTGGTTGTGGGGATGGGGCCTGGGAGAAATCCTTGGTTGTCGCAGGTTTCACAGACGACTTGACTGGATTTGATACAAGTCACGGTTCAGTGGCTCGCGCCAATTCCAATCTGCAGAACTGGTCGACCATGCTGAGATTTGCAGTTTTTGATGCCAACTCGGATCCCATCAATGGCACCTTCGATTTGATTTACTGCCATCATTCACTGCATCATATTCAAAATTTAGAATTCTTTTACGAGCAGGTGTATCAGTCATTGCGGCCAGGAGGCATTTTTGCATTTGAAGACTTTGTTGGCCCAACGCGGTATCAGTGGACACCTGCGCAACTGCAAATTCAGAATAAGATTTTGCAGGCATTGCCACGATACTTGCGAAATCACGCTTTAGCTCCTGGCGTCTATGCAGACAAGATGCACATGCATACCCACACGGGAATGATACGGGAAGATCCTTCTGAAGCAGTTCGGTCGAGTGAGATACTTCCTGTTCTGGAGAAATGGTTCAGCAGCAAGTTGCCAATTGTGGAGCGTGTGCCGCTTGGAGGGACCATTCTCCACCCGCTTTTTAATATCATTGGGTGGAACTTTAATTTGAGCAACCCCGAGCACGCTTCTCTCGTGCAGATGAGCTGCATCATTGATTGGCTTGCATTGACCGTTCTGAAGCAATCAGATTTTGTCGCAGTTGTGACAAGGAAGGCTTAGGCCTTATATAGGCTGTTTCAATCAAACGATGCTGCAATCAAAAAGTTGCGTACCGATGTGTTGATAGTCGAATTAGTTTCTGAGCTGTCATGGTTTCTGCCAAGGCACATAGAAAACCGGTGTCCATGTTGTGTTTCTCATAGAAACGCGCCCAAAAGAGTCCAATATGAATGCACAGTGAACTGTTTTTGCTAAGCTAGTAATCCATGACTTGAGCACACCAAGACTAGAAGCGACTTCAACACTGGAGATATGCGTCAAGCTTGAACGAGCAAACAACCAAACAAGGCACTGAACTTCTCACAAGTGAAATACAATGTGTAAGGAAAGCGACCGTTTGTCACATGCAACCCGTGAAAGAAAAACAATTCAGACACGTCATCAACATAACGCCAACGCAACAGGCGTAACTCGCCCACGCAGACATCTCACGACACCACGTCTTCAGCAAAAGCGCGAAGGTGGTTAGAGAGAAACCTGTCGCCAAGGATAGATTGAGGATACAACAAAAGCCAAGAAAACACGAGGGGCCGAGGGGCCCATTTCCGCTCCGACTTGAACCGAAACGAGAACCGATCATCCTCACGGGCTCTCGACACAGTTCTGTTCGGAACTCCACTGCTTGCACTTCCGTGTCAATCAGTGGTATCGGAGCCTGCTCGCGATGTGGTCAGGCGATGATGCTACACACGCGCAGATGACGCTACGGTAATCGCCGCGCAGTGGACATCCAAGAGTTTGTGGCATTCATCTCGTTTGAAATCCTGCGCCGACTACTTGAGCCAATGTGAACGGTTGGTGGGGTAGGGACACATTGGGAATTGAAACGCAAAGTGACAGATCCCAATCTAGGAGTCGGTTTACATGTTTTTGTTAGCTGCTTTGGCCTACTCTGATCATGCCCTTTACAGCGGCGCTTGGCTGCCTGTGACTTGCCAGCAGTACAATGCATACCCAATGTGGAGGCGAAGCCGTGGTCGCTACTTGGCCCTGCGACCGCCCGCGCGACCATTTATGCCAGCTTGATTGGCCAGTGATACGCCAGGAATTCTGCTGGGGTCTTTTCACCTCTTGTGTTTTCACTCCACGTAGTATGTACACTTTTGTCATGAATTGTATATCGGATATCATGTACGCTTACCTTGTAGCTCGCGGCCCAAAACAGGAGCGGTAGCTTAACGGCTGTTTTTATAGGTTATCAGCCGTAGTGCTCTAACCGCAGCCATGGACGCCCTTGCTATTCCTGGTAATGCCACCTCAGCGGCTACTGTGCCCGCCGGTCCCGAAACCGCGCCACAATAGATCTAGACGATCCTATGGGTTCGGCCCCTGTGACCGCGTACTTCCAGTTTGCGCAACAAAATATCCAACAGGTCTACAATGGTAATGAAGAAGCAATCATTGCTGAGGCTGAACGGAGGCGCAAGGAAGTAATGGCCCAGGGGTTGGAAACTGCAAAAGCAAAGTTCCGAGAAGCAATTCTAGAGGTTGAAGGCAGACACCACGAAGAGCTTAGTTCGAAGCAGCAAGCCCAGTCAAGCTCTGACAAAATGCAGGTAGAGCTTGGTGCCACCAAAGCACGCGTGTTCAAACTAGAGAACGAAAAGGCGCTTGAAGTGGAAGCAAAGAAAGCTGAGATGGATGCCTTGCGTAAGCAGCTCACACATGAATGCCAAGAAACAGTGAATGCAGTCACTGCGAATGCAGAGCAAGGAGTTGCTAGACTTCGTTCAGACTTTGATGAGCGTGTGACACAAGTTCAGCGTGAGTTGAAGGATGCAGAGAATGAAAACTATAGCTTGCAACAGATCATTGACGATCTTAGGGCAGAAAACAAAGGGCTTACAGAACCAGGGTATTGTCCTCCAACGAGCATTGCCGTCTCGCCAGCAATGACACCTAGCCATAGCTAGTCTTCAAAGAAAGGTACTTTAGAGACCATTGCAGCAGAAGGTAGCGCAAGGTTGAATGGGTTGTTTGGACCCAGTGTGCCAGAGGCCGCCGTCACTGGCGCTGCCCCATCTGGAGCTGCGGCAGAGTCAAAGCCAGTGCTTCCTGTTCATGGAGGTACTGTTCCAGGTGGTGGCAAAACACCAACCAATGACGTTTCACAGTCCAGCACCATCAGTGCGTGAGGCCCCGCAGCCAGCGCAGTCAGGTGCGGAGCAGGTGATTGATAGTCAAGTCACTCACAAAGCGCGACAGCGATGAAAAGCCCAAAGTCAAGGAAGCAGACCACATCAAACTAAATGATATGCCTACTGCCGAGACCTAACGGCGATGGAAACATCATGTGAGAGACGAGATCAAATCATGTTCAGACAAACCTGACGCAGCATGGGACTGGTTGATGGAGGTGTATAACACAGTTGACGAAAGCAGTGTTTTGGAAGAACGACTTTCCAACCCAGGTAAGTTTACAACGTTGGACACCAAGCTAGCAGCTGCATTGACACGAAGTGCAAAGGGTGACTTGGCTAACCGGATCATCAAATTATAAAGAAGAGAAGGCGAAGCTAGGCATCCAGGTTCGTGGGAGGATGATCCTCCTCATGTTCGATGACTATTTCAAGACCTCTGAGCCCTATAGATCAGCTGAGGTTAAAAACAACCTCTGAGGTTATTTTGTTTCCTGAGGTTAATTCTAACCTCACTGAGGTTATTCTTAAGAATAACCTCTGCGGTTATTCTTAAGAATAACCTCACAGTTTCTGCTGTTGTTCTAGAAAATAACATCAGAATGGTTTACCACATGGGCTGTCAAGACACTTGTTTTTCACATTGACACCTTGAGGTGGATTTGTGAAAGTATTTGTAGAACATATGCTAAATGTATTTGTAAATGTATTTGAATACTTTGGTCAGAACATGAAAACTGTGGCCCAGATGTATCTGTGTTGCCACATGTTGGCACACATTCTTTGGGAGATGTTGTGGCACACATGAATCAGAACGCCTTGGGGAAGTGAAAACATGCATTATTCTTTGCATGGAGAAGTGAAGAATGTGCTATTCTTGGGAAATTTCAATCCCACATATTTGTTTCTCTTCTCTGTGTCATCAGGGTCTGTCATAATTCAGGAAAAGGAAAATGAAGAGGAAAAGGAAAAGGAAAAAAACAAGGAAAAGGAAAAGGAAAAAGGAAGAGGAAGATGAAAAAAAGACAAAAAAGGAAGAGGAAAAGGAACAATAAAAGGAAGAGAGAGAGGAACATGAAAGGAAAAATGTTTGTTTGGGGGGGAAGGAAAGTGCGGAAACAAAATCTAAAGACTAAAACTGTTGGCAAAAGTTTTTTTGATGAAGAGAGTTGAGGAAGCAAAATCTAATGACTAAAACTGTGGACAAAAGTTTTGGTGAGGAGAGTTGAGGACACAAAATCTAATGACTAAAACTGTGGCCAAAACTTTTGGGGTGAATGAAAGTAAGGAAGCCAAATCTCATGAATAAAGCTGTGGGCAAAGATTTTTGGTGAGGAGAGTTCAGGAAACAATATCTAATGACTAAAGCTGTGGACAAAATTTTTGGGTGAGAGAAAGGAAACAAAATCTAATGACTAAAACTGTGGACAATCCTTTTGGGGCGAGGGAAATTCAGGAAGCAAATCTAATGACTATTAGTAATTAGATATTGTTTCCTGAACTCTCCTCACCAAAAATCTTTGCCCACAGCTTTATTCATGAGATTTGGCTTCCTTACTTTCATTCACCCCAAAAAGTTTTGGCCACAGTTTTAGTCATTAGATTTTGTGTCCTCAACTCTCCTCACCAAAACTTTTGTTCACAGTTTTAGTCATTAGATTTTGCTTCCTGAGCTCTCCTCACCAAAAATTTTTGCCCACAGTTTTATTCAATAGATTTTGTTTCCTTACTTGCATTCACCCCAAAAAGTTTTGGCCACAGTTTTAGTCATTAGATTTTCTGTCCTCAACCCTCCTCACCAAAAGTTTTTGCCCACACTTGGATGATTTTGTCCAGGTTTAATTCCAAAAGCATCACAAATTAGTGCAAAACATTGCAAAAATATGCAAAATATGCAAAAATATGCCAAAAATAGGACTGCACGTGCCTAGCTATGGATTGGGTAGAATTTATTGATTTGTATACCCCTTACTGAGTGTCAATTCCAGTCAGTGAAGCTAGGCAGCTAGGGTTGTTGTTTCTTTTCCGGCTTATCTCACACCTATACTCAATTCAGGTCATGGCAGGTTGCCTTGGGGAAAAGCAGGGGTTGAAGCTCAGCGGTTTTTTATGTAATGCCTTTTGGTGATGAACCCTGTTGCATCCCCAGGTTTCAGATTCGTCCACATTCTGAGGGCACTGTTTTTTGGTAGTCAAAGTTGTGGGCCATCCCCTAATTCACCTTGCCTGAGGATCTCATGGCTGAGAAGGTGTTGGGGTGGATTCCCGAAAGGGCTCAGAGCCTCATTTGTGAACACACGTTTTCACCATTCCACACTGGTTCCAACTGAACCATCGGGACGTTTTCACCATTGATCCTTTCTTCCTGAAGGAAGTTGCAGACTCAAAGGCAAGATTCCATAATGCATCTGCATCAAGGCCGCCATTGTCCCAGCGTTCAAAAATCATCAAATCTGCAGCAATGAGTGGCGCAAAGCCCTGGAAGATCTCACTTGCTGGAGACCTAGGTGGAGTCCACATCATTGATTTTTTGAACAGCAAAAAGCACAAGAATCAGATAAATTACAGTTACCAACAAATCACCATGACAAGTTGCTCCCAGCTTCGACCAAGTTGCTTTGTTTGCAAGAAATGCTTCAACCATAGCTTTCTTTTGCTCAAAGAAGTTGCCTTTGTTGAATGGCTTGTAGTTGATAGAGAAAATATAGCCAGAGTGAAGCTGCGCCTTCAAGAACAATCCATCTGCAATTGCCAGCTTGTAGTCTCTGACAACTCGGTGGATCTTGTCGCACCGGGTGTGCCCAGCGTGTGATCTTCTAACAGAAAAGCAGCGGCAGCCATGCCCACTCCTCCCTGATCAATGCTCAATGTTAGCATTGGTTGCTGCGTTTGCCATGACAAGTTCG